AATATAGTAATTTATGGCATTCCATAATTATGGAGCACTACACTGCTATTAAAATAATGTCATAAACAAAAATTTATTGATATGTGTGTTAGTCAGCTTTCTGTTGCGATGACAAAATACTTGAGGAAAAATCAACATAAAGGAGGAAAAATTTATTTTGGCTCATGGGTTCAGAGATTTCACTTGACCCCATCTCTTTGGGACTTCTGCAAGGCAGAACATCATAGTAGGGAGAATGAGGTGGAACAGAGCTGCTTACTTGCAGGTGGGCAGGAAGCCAAGGGAGGAGAGGAAGGAAGGGGCCCAGGACAAGATACAACCTTCCAGGGCATGTGCCAGTGATCTATTTAATCTAACTCGACTTTACCTCCTACAGTTTCTACCACCTCCCAATAGTCCACTCAATTATGAACTCATCAATGGAACAATCCATTGATGAGATTCAGAGTCCTCATGATCTAATCATTTCCCCAAATTCCCACTTCCAAACACTGTTGCACTGGGAAGCAAGCCTTCAACGTATGAGCCTGTAGGGAATGTTCCAGATTGCAGCTACAATGTGAAAATAAGCCTACTGAAATTAAGTGTGGAATTTTGCACATTTTGTAACTTGCTTTCCCTCCTTAATTTTAGTGAGATTTTTTTCCACTCCAACATTGTAAGCACTGACAACCATGCATGTAAGTAATCCATTTCAAGGACAAGGGACTATGCTTGCACCAAAAGCTCAGGAGAATCAGTTAAGGAAAAAAGTATTGTTTAAGGCCCTGATCTTGGCTATTTTCCTGCTTTATAGTCAGAGTCTCATGCCTTCCCCAAAGGATCAAGCCAAGATGTTATTTTGTAACTATTTGCTGAGCAGTGTCCTATTGTGAAGCAGTCAGTTCTATGATTAGTATGAAATTGAATAGGGTTAGTTAAAGCAATGATTCATTTCAAACGGTATCTAGGGAACTCCAATTGAAGTTGCTCAGCTTTTTAATGCACTGTACTGTCTTCCCAATGACACAGACATAGTCCAGACATAATTATATAAAACAGGTAAAGAGTGGAAACCCAGTCAGAAAAAACCTCCAAGGCAACTCTTTAAGAAGTAGCCATGCGCCTGTTAAATGCACTTCATTGCCAAATGCAGTAGTCACTGATGCCTAATAGTGACTTTTGACTAGATGGACATCTTTCAGGAATTGTTTTATGTAAAAATAAGCACTTTAACCAACTTTGTTCTGTGTGACACACCACTGTGAAGGCAGAGGAGGATGAGGAGAGCTAGCTGGAAGGGATCTTGTTTTCTTTGTTTTCCGTACAAGATTCGAAGGGCTAGGCCTACCTGAAAGGGCAAGCAGGTGAGAAATAGGTTAAGGACAAGTTCAAGACCTCAGTACAGTCTGGACTAAGGGAGGCCAATGAGAACCAAACTCTTCAAATTTTTTCATTGACTTTTGTATTTCCAGAACAAGGGGCAGACACATAAAGACACACACACAAACAGACTTTGGTCTATAATTTACAGGAAATGAAAAATCCTGGAGAAGTTTAAGACTGTCTTTGCACCTAAGTTGATTAAAAATTAGATCAAAATATAAGGTGATATCAGGGACCATCAAATTTGAAGGCGCCACAGGGAATAGAGGCAACAGCTGCCACTAGACTGTCTTATTGACCTAGTATCACCTTCCTGCAGTTCTGCGTGTGAGGTTGTCTTGGATACAAACCCTGCCTACCTTCTCACCTGCCACCTGAGGTTTCACCTGCTTCCCAGAACACGCTGCTGCCACCTTGCCAGCACCTTTGCCAAGCTTCCTGGGGTGGCAGGACTCCAAGTCTGAGCCCTACACCTGCACTCTCCACCCAGAGTCTGGCCATGCTGAGTCATCCTTCTGTTCTCGGCCTGGATGAAATGTCACACGGGGAGGCTCTGGTTTCCTGAGCAGCTGCAGAGGGGTTGGATGGAAACCGCAGAAGCACAGGAGCATCTAGTCCCTGTGAGCCAAACCTTTACTAATGGGAAATGGGATACAGTAGGGAACCAGGTGAACAGATTCCATCTTCTTAATTCCCCTGTGGACTGCTCCAAAATTTTTCAGCCTGAAGTGAAGTCACCTGGAGCAGTTCCATGTGCCGAGTCAATCACTAGCCTTGCCAAAACTCATTTAGCTTTTGGGGCTTCTCTTACTTTTCTTGCCTTATTTCCCCTATTTCCACACCTGGGCTTGCACTTCCCAGGTAAAATGTCAGCCTTCCAATCCTGTCTCGGGTTTACTGTGGAGAAAAGGTTTCTAAGGCCAAACTAGGACAACAGGATTGGTTTTATTGGGGTGCTGGATATTTTCCCCTACCCCCTGGTCCCAGAGTCATCCTCCACTTTCCCTCTGCCCTGGAAGGCTACTGAACTGTATCAACAGGCTCCCCGCCCTCTGGCCACCAGTTAGGCTCGGCCAATGGGGGGCCCTAGTAGGAGGTTGGAGGGAGAAAGTGTTTATTTTCCCCAGGAAAGGTCACCTTTGGCTAGTTGTATCCCTCAAATGAAAGTCATAGCTGGTCTTGATTTCTAAGAACTCCTTCCTCCTCTGATCCCTAGGGGACACAACTGCACACTGCCACCCTTAGCTTACTTCCTTTGCAACTCTTCTATGCTCTGCTCATTCCTTTGTAATTAGTCTCTTTATAAATAAACTCTGTTGACTTCTTTCAATTTGAGAGCTCCATCTGTTTCCTGTTGGGACCAAGAGTGATAAAGAATGGTTAAATGATAATACCATTTATCCATGTTGGAATAGTGAATAGCATTACAAATCAGTGTTTGGTAGTTAAAAAAAAAAAAAGTGATGCATTAGTTTTAATTTTCTCCTTCTCCTTCTTCTTTTTCTTCTTCTCCTTCTCCTTCTTCTTTTTAATCACTTAAGATGTCAAGCAAGCAGGGTTCTGGCAGGAAACAAAATTCCATTCATGGAGGGACTTCAATGAAGGGGGAATGGACAGAGCAAGGGGAATCAACAGAGATGGTACACCACCAGTGACAATAAAGCAGAAAGCCACCCCTCCCACTGTGTTCAATGCTGGGGCCCAGTAAGAACTGGAGCCCTGGGGCAGTCGATTTGTGGAAGGACAAAGCCCTGCCAGAGCCCCAGTCTGCAGCAGGTTGGGAATAGAGGAAGAAATGCCCCTATCCTGCCCATGAGTCTCCTTCCAATCTCATCTCCAGTCAGTGCCTCTCAGTGGCTAAAACAAGTCACAAACTTCAATTATGTGGCCCCTTGGTGTCAGTCTGGTTGGGCTGGGAGTGGGGCTGGGAAGGGGACAGAGATTGGGTTTGGGTTGGTGGGAGTAGGGAGGGAAACAGACAATAACCAGTATAATCAGGGCATTAGACTTCATGTAAATACCAATTTTGCAAAAAAAGGATTAAGGAATGGTGAACTAGATAGTTTAAATAGCTATCTCATGGTCATAGAAGAATAAGTGGTTTTTATATATTTGATACATTTTATAAATAAAATGGATCTGTGTGCCTTTAAAATTTGTCTTAGAAAAAGGAAATACTAATTGGAGATAGGATATATTTTCTTTAAAAAATAAACACATGATTTCTCCTCATGGTAAGAATTTCACTCCCTGAAATTCCCCAGAAATTGGATCTTATCCAGGGGAAGATCAAGACAATATGAAAGAATATTTCTGTTGTTTGTTTCTAAAAGCACTAGTTTGTGTCACACTATTCTGATGCCAAATAGTAATAATTTCATATGGGACACACGGCATCCCTGTCCTAATTGGTAGGTCTGGAGTCCTGTGATTGCTGTTTACTTTCTTATGTGGCAAAGCTAATCTGTGACATTCATTCACTTTGTCTAAACAAAATTTCTTATCCTAGAGTTGGATGCACAAACCTCAGTGTATAGCATTAGGCTTCTATAAACCTATCACTTCAAACCCCTTTCAATTCAATTGAACAGTCAACAAACATCCCTCTTAGATTTTTTTTTTTTCATTACTTTTGGTTCGTTTTTCTTTTGCTTCGTGTCTTTCCCGTTCAACCTGAACTACAAAGGAAGCAATGTGGAAGAACAAGCACAGCCACACTGTCTGCCATCTGCACTGACCCTGGTGTCATCCACACCCTGTGTTCCTCTTCTATTCTTAGTACCAGCCTCAGGCTCACTGTCAGCTCACATTCAGTGCCAATAAAAGAAAAGCAGCTACTTCCTCTGAAGACATTCAGTATGTACAGAATGAGATAGCAAATCTTTGGAATGTCACAGGCCAGCTGTTGAAGCCAATATTCCTAATGCAAATTCTTACTCTCTACCAAGGTCTCAACCTTGAGCCAAAGCAGCAGTTAGGGAGAACATAAGCACCAATCAACAGAGGCACTGTGCAAACTCAGAGGCTTGGTGCAAGGTCAGGTGTCCTGGCTTCCACTAGTTGCCAGGCTATTTAAAGCTAAGGATTAGACAGAGATAACAGATGCATTACACTGTGCTGTCTTCTACAATCTAAAATTTTAACTTGATTCTTAATAGCAAGATTTAAAATATATTGAATTCAGTAGCTGAACATATTTGCCTAAAGTTAATAAGAATACAATATGTGTTAATATCTATCTTATTAGTAGTTTATAGATATCCACACACGACTCAAAAAATAAAACTCCAGATAGGATCCAGTTTGGCTTAGAAAAAAAAAATGAATAAGGTACATATTCAAACTTTTAAAAATAAGATATCTGAAAAATTTTAAGAATAATACTTTTATTTGGATTTTCCAACTGATATTTAAGGCAGTAACAACTATCATGAATCATAAATAAATTTCACACTCAGTTTCCAAGTGCTGTATTTTAACTTTCACACTCCATATTTATAAAACTCCACTTTAATTAAAATTCACTGAAAAGAAAAGCCTATCAAGTGAAGGGAATCACAACTCTTTTTAGCAGTATAAAAATCTTCACAAAATGGAAAAGGATTCCTTAAGTGAGAACACTCTTTTGCCATGAATTATAAAAACATAGCCTGTCTAGCATTGTTGGAGTCATTAAGAAACAATTCTGAGACCTCTCTAGTATCAATGTACAGTCTCCTAAAGGTTCAATGTTTTCCTTGTAAGAATAGCATCAGTTTGAACTGCACAAACATATTTAACAATTTCTCTTTCGGCATAAGAATAATAAAAACATCTTCAACATACCAGGAACTATGTATATATTTTTAACCTTCATAAAAGTCATAGCAAATTATTTCAAACGTGGGTAACACAAAAATTCCCGTGGTACCATCCATAGAACATCTTCCTCATATCCTAGGAACAGGAACCCCGATAAGGTTTCACTTAGTCTCAAGCGGATCCTTTACTTCCACCACCAGAATTCCATCATGACAGAGGATGGCAGACAAATCTTTGGTTTCAACGCCATCTGGCAGTTTGTACTGTCGGGTGAAGCTTCGTGAGATGAAACCATGCTCATCCATTCTGGTTCCATGTTGAGCTTTAATCAGCAGCCAGCCCTCGAAGGTCTGAATGATGATATCTTCTGGGAGGAACTGGACCACGTCCAGCAGAATTTGAAAGCGGGATTTGCCTTCTTGGGGTGGCGTCTCTGTGGTTGCTGAGTCCACTGGAAGAGATTGCGGCACGGCTCTGACTTTTCTCAGGTCCACGATGGTTGGCCCAGGCAGTGCGTATAGAGCATGATCCAGTCTGCAGTCTTCCAAACCCCGAGCTTCAAACTCCTCCTGGTAACGCACTGGAGTTTCTATGAGGTGCCTCAAAATGATTTTTGCCATAGTGGAGGCAAAGCCAGCATGGAAGAGCTTCCCTTCAGAGAGTGGTGAACGTTTGCAGTTGCCTTCTGACTAGATTCCCAGACAGAGCAGCTACTGGGTTTATAGCTCTGCCCAGAGGAAACCACTTCATTAGGCCTGAATCAGACCACGCACACTCACTCTTGTCTTTTCACACAGGCTGACAATGAAGGGCTATTTATAGGGCATGTTTCCGAGTTGCATTTAGCCACACAGCAGCCTGCACAAGCTGCCCAGTCAAGGGCTGCTCTTACAGTCTCAGTTATCCTTGGCAAATGTGTCTGCCTTGCTTACATCAAGAGAAAATGGGACTCCAAAGGGGCATTTGAAAAAGATCTGGGTGAGTGCTTTCTCCTTGGGGACTTCAGTAATTGAAAGGAATAGGGTTTCTTAGAACAGTCCAGAGATGAGCAGTCATCTTATCAAATTCGCTAATACTGCCTCTCCCTAGCCACCCAATCCAGAGCTGGGGAGAGAAGGCTGCAGCTATGATTAAGGAGAAACTCTCTCTCTCACACACACACACACACACACACACACACACACACATCTCAAGTATTCAAAACTCTCAATCCTCAGTACTACACATAATTTCTTTCATCATTTACTCTTTCATGTTTAAGGGACATCTGTGTGCCATATCATCTGTTTTTGTTTTTTTTAACATTTGATTCACCAAAAATGAGATCAGTTGACTAAGCTATGTAAGTGTTAAATTTAAGGAGGGGCAGAGGGGCATAGAATGGGAAATCAGTGATGAGTATAAAGCCAAAAGGAAGAAAAAAAGTGTCATAGATTTGAACTTTTTTATATTAAAGTACAGAAAACTAAGGATCAATCTAGTTGCTGCTCTGTTATAACTAAGTGGCCAAAATAAATTACATATAATTTCTGAACACTCTTTATGTTAACTTTTCTTAACATAAAAGGAGACAGCCCTTAATCCACTGCTGCAGAAGGATTTCCAAGTTAAGCAAAAAAGAAAAGTCCAGAGCAGCATATAATGTGCTATTATTTGTACTTGTTTTAAAAGTCAAAATTTGCCATGGTGCACAACTATGATCCAAAACTGAGGCAGGAGGCTCCCAAATTCAAAGTCGGCCTCAGCAAATTTGGGGAGGCCCTCATCAAACAGTGGGAACTTATCTCAAAAATAAAAAATAAAAAGGCTGAATGTAGCTGAATGGTAGAACACCCCTGGGTTCAATCCCCAGTACAGGGGTCTGTGTTTGCTTATATAAATAGAATCTCTCTGAGAGTCTACAGTCCCCGTCTTGTGTCCTCCTAGTAATCCTCCATGTGTTCTAGAGCTTCCAAGAAGGTCATCTTGCTTTAAAGTTCAAAAAAAAAAAAAAAAAAAAAAACTTTGCAAAGTCTTTCCATGGCCTTCAAGAATTCTCTGGCCCCTGCTATCTGGTCCCTGCTGACCTCCTCCCCTACCTCACCCTTCAGCCTCACTTGCCTCCTTTCTGTCCCATGAATACCCTTGTCACTTCCTCGGGCTCTTTGCAAGTCCCTTTGCTATGACCACTCCACTTTCAGATTGTCTCAAGGTTGCTTCTTGCTTATCATTCAGGCAGCAGATCAAGTGTTAACCTCTGCAGGAGAGTATTTTCAATGGAAGTCCTCCTGTCACCCTGTCATAGTCTTTATCTTTATCTTTGTTCTGTTTGTTGTTGTTGTTTTGTTTGGTCAACCAGATGAAATAGTTTAATTTTGAAACCACTACAGTAATATTTGATTAGGGCAAGAATCATCCATGGCTGCCAAAATCATTGGGAGAACAGTCTCCAAGTATCACATATCACAGGTCACTTATGAAATACGAAAAGAAAAGGACTCTTTTGAAAAGGGTAAGTCAGGCAGCCACCGACTTAACAAATGATCAAACTGAGTATTACCAATAATGGAACAAATGACATCATTGGCCTACTGGTTTAATCTAAGAGAATACAACATTGTATATAGAATTCTCCCTTAAAAAATGTGCTATTGTTTGGATATTAAATGTCTTCTAAAAGTCTTGGTCTCCAGCTGGTGCCGCTATTGCAAGGTGGTGGAATATTTAAGGGGTGGAATGTAGTTAGAGGAAGTTAGGTAACTGGGGCTGTGTACCCTTGAAGGAGACATTAGAACCCCTAGCTTCTTGTTCTGGATTATTTGATTAGATGCTTTGATGAGGGGTAGCCACAAGAGGAGATGGAAGAAGTCCAGGACAATGAAGTGTACTATATGCCCAGGTCCTAGAGACAGGAGGCAGACCACACAGGGCGCAAGGAAACCTCAGGGCAGTCAGAAGGCTGGAGTCGGAAGCAAGGGCAGGGGTTGGGCCAGAGGCTTTGTTAGGGTTTTTGAGGGAGAGGTAAAGCAGGGGATGCATTGCAGGCTGGGCTAATTTGAATGATTCCATCAGACTCTATGCTACAGGTGACCACACCTGTAGCCCAAGTACCTGGCCTGGGATGACTGAAGAAAAGGAATATTTCCTCCTGGGGTGCATGGGCCAGAAAGAGGAGGTCTGGCTCTGAATTGGGTACTTCATCTATCAAAGGCAGGCTCCTCGTCATGCCCTTTGCTATCTCTAAGAATTGGCTAGTCTCCCTCCAGCCAGAAAGATTTTTAAGAACATCAAACTATGGAGACAATAAAGTATATAATTATGCAAGTAATATATCTTTTGGAACATACAGTGCAATCTTTGCCATCTGTTAGCATCTGAAATTATCTTATTTATGGATTTATAGTCCAGTTGGGAAACACAATGGCACTTTGAGGTCAGAAACTGTATTGTTCATGGCGATATTCTCAGCACCAAAGAGCGTCTGGAAAATGGTAGGCATGCAAGATATTTGTTGAAAGACAAAAGATCGAACTGCTACAACTTTTTGGTTATTTCTATTTAGCTGACCCTTGATGTTACTTGGCCATCCTCTGGTACTTTGGTCAGCTTCTCCTCTTTCTCTGAAGTAGAGATTCCAAACTCCTTCTCCTCCTCAGGGTTTCTCTTGTGTCCTGGTGTCACTTTCCCAGGTAGGTGGCTTTGCTTGAAGCCTTCTATGCACACCCAGTGAGAAGCTTCCCCTTCTACCTTTACCTCCACTCAGGAGTCCCTCCCTCCCCTCTGGGCTTTTGCTCAACCAGTTCTTCACTATGCCCATGGCTAAAGTCAGGTATCTCCCATCTTTTTATAAAGCCACACAAAACCTCCTAGTCCTTGTGTCTTACTGTAGCTAATTATCTCCAAGCCACAGTAATTTAACTTCAGCTCCACCAGTAACTGCCCTTGGGTAGATCAAGGACAGCCTAAATCAATACTGTCATCCTTACCTCCCTGAGCCTCTCCAGTGTTTGATGCAACAGGGAGGAATGGCAGCTATTGTTTTTCTTAGCCTCTTGAGTGTGCAAGTGGAGTTTTCTCTTATTCTACTCCCTACATGTCCAGTGGAAGTGATATTGCCCTAAAGGGGCAAGAACTGGTTCTTATGGAACAAAATACATAAACTTAGATGCAGTATAATAGTTTGTCCTCAAAGGGGTCATGGTACTACACTGACATATCGCATATCTGTGGTATTAGTTTTTCAGTGGGGAGATGGAGGGGAAATTAGGTGAAAAAATATAAAAGTACTCAGAGGGCTATGATATCATAATTAAAAGGTGAGAAACACTGTGTAGTCTGATTTATAAATTGCTCAGGAACCCCTCTTTAGGATTCCAATAACAACTAGGCTGGGAGTCCAGGGAGGTTTTCTAGAAAGAGCCATGACTCAGTTGCAATAAGAAGGATTCTGGAGTAAGCCAAATGAATCTTTAGGTAGGGGAGGAAGGTAACAGGCCAGCATGTTCACGATGCTAGAGCCCAAAGAGAACCTCATGATTAGAGGAGACAAAGGAATCTCAGCATGGCCATGTGCATACTGCAAAGTAGGAAGAGGGGAAATGAGGCTGGAGAGGTCAGCAGAGACCAGATCATAAAGACCTTTGTCATTTTTGTCGAGGCAAAATAATACTTTTCAAAGCGACCTGACTTTTCACCAGTAGCTTAAGGAACGACAGCAGAATTCTTGTTTTAGGGTAAAGACTATTCTTTATCTCTTCATAATCAAAAGGCCCATTGAACTTTTTAAAATTAAAATTTAGATTCCATTCTTTAGAATAAAGAAGTTCAAGACATGAAAACTTTCCACTTCTCTGACCACATCTTTTATAAGAAATACATTTGCCCTCATGACCCAATGAACACACATAAACACATATGGGTACAAAACACTAAGCTTTCCTACATGGGTGCCCTTTGCCTATTCAATTCTAGTTAGCATGACAGAAGTAATTTTTGCAATTCACTGAATTGATTTCACCACCACAAAATTGGTCAAAAGTCATGTTTAAAAAAACAAAAAACTCTTCTTTAACTTTTCACATGTTAAGGCAAGGTAGTTTAACATCTTTATGGGTAAATCACACCTCTGTGGAGACACTCTGTGGTCCTGCCTAATTTGTCTTCTGTGGCTGCAGTAAGACATGAGCAGGGAGGGCAGGAAGCAGTGAGTGGCAGCTAGCTGCGTGGCGGATGTACAGTTCTTCTGTGATTAGAGAAGACAAGGATGAAACACAGGCTCAGTGGTCAGGGTGCGTCTTTGCCTAACTAAGGGGAGAGAGTTGGTGGCAAGGTAGGAACAGAAGTTAAACTGTGGCTAGCAGGAGATTCAACATTGTATATAGTCAATAGTTTGAAGACACTGGGACATGAAAGGACAGAAAGAACTATAAGCCAGGTCCAGTGGCCCACACCTGTAATCTCAGCAACTTGGGAGGCTGAGGCAGGAGGATTGCAAGTTCAAAGGTAGCCTTGCCAGGAGGATCACGAGTTCAAAGCCAGTCTCACCAAAAGTAAGGCACCAAGCAACTCAGTGAGACCCTATCTCTAAATAAAATACAAAATAGGGCTGGGGATGTGGCTCAGTGGTAGAGTGCTCCTGAGTTCAATCCCTGGTACCCAAACCCAAACCAAACCAAAACAAAACAATAACAACAACAACAACAAAAAACCCTCCAAAACCTTTTTAAGTAATTGATCAGATCAGGGAGTGGAGGTTAGGAGATACACTTTCAAGGTAAAGCTGAGAATTTCCCTACAAAGTGGATGTAGGCTATGAGAGAAAGAGTCAGGGATG